CAGCCATTCCCCAATTTATTTTTAAAATCTCATTGGAGAAACACTGAGCAGCGTTATTTAGTATTCAAAATAACCTGCTCAGGATTTGATGACTGTTTTTGACCAGGGCGCCCAGTGCTGCCGACTGCCGAGCAGCCGGGAAGCGCCGATGATGCAGAATCCAGGCTGTCAGCTGCCATCGAGCCTTGAGGGTTCGAGCCGAGCTCACACCCTCGGCTCCCCATTCCAAGGCTGAAATGGGCTTTCATTCCTGGGTTTGCCCAGCTGTCTGCCCTCCAAGCCCCGGGGTGTGCTGATTTTCCAGGGCTTTCCTGCTGCTGTTTCCACTTGGACACCCAGAGAGCCCAGAGGCAGGGACTGGCAGTGAGATATGCAGGATTCCATGTCACCTGGGCTCTCTTCAGGCTCTCTTGGAGTCAAATAAGTTTTATAAAGGTGGTTTAATACTGCTGAAAATGCTGGGAATTCTCCAGACACCGCTTTCCTCTGCATCTGTCCGTGTTGAACGCTAGATGGGGCGTCAGACACAGGGTTTGTTCCCTGCAGAGAACTGAGTCATGTTTGAGAAAAACAGAGAAGCGTGGACGCCCATCTGCAGAGCTGACGGCTTGTGTTGAGAAACGTGATTTCTTGGGATACACAGTGACCCAGCCCGCGCTGCTGAGGGATCACAGAGAGCCAGAGCTGCGAGAGCCATTCCAGCAAAACAGCCAAAGTCATCCTGCAAAGGAAGGTGGAGGGTTTGGATAAAGAAATCAGGCTGTTCAGCTCGGATCTGCAGATTCTCCTCTGTCCATTTGATTACAGTGGACAGGTTGCCTTTTATTTATTTTATTACAGTGTGAGATGGTTGCTTTTTATTTATTTTATTACAGTGTGAGCTGGTTGCCTTGCTTGCCTCTCAGGCTTCAGCAGGTATTTCACCATTCGCCTGTAAAATCAGTGTGGTCCGACAAACACAGACAGGGACTGTCACCCCTGAATCCCTCTGGGATAAAGGGTAGTGACACGTTGTCTTGCAAAGGGTGAATCGGTTTCATAGCAGACCTTTCTGACTGATGTACGAAGGGGATGAAATGTCCTGAGCAAATTTTTCATGGTGCTCTCATGTGTTTTCACAAGGTCTCAACAGCTCGGAAGAGACTGCATCTCCCAAAATATAGATGGGAAATCCAAAGTCATATGCTAGAAACGGCACAGAGAAGGAGAATTACCTCATCTGCAAAAGAAGGAGTAGCATGAGATATATCTATAGATCTTCTCCTTTCCATGTGGGAGGGAGGTGGCATATATTTCCTATACAACAATAGGACGTATGCTGCATAACAGGTACCAGATGGGTGTTTAAATAATCTTCAGCTGCTGCATGTCATGCTGTTATCTCATTATCCATTACAAGTTAAATGGGTTCAAGCTGGGCCTGGACATGGATGAGAAGTCTAATAGTGGTGGTGAGGCTGACATTGATGGCAATTTCCTTGAACAGCAGTCTGGAAGCTCCAAGTGGAGCACAGACCCTGCACCACACAGTCCACAGTGCAGTGTTTTGTGCCTGTTGTGTTGAACACGTTGTTCCTCAACACCCTCCTGTGCCCTGGGCACAGAACTGGCATCCTGTCATGCCTTGATGTTGCCCTCCTGACCAGCACAGGGATGGGGTGGTTGGTCAGCAGTGGGTCATGTTGAACCAGCTGCCACAAGCTGAAAGTACTGAAAATCTGCAGCAGAGAAGAACTTTAGATAGGTATTTAGTGTGCAATAGGCTTGGGGTGTCTGTGATTTGGGGTGTTGATCAGCAGTGAAAGTGGTGTGGTGAAAAGGAGAGGGTGTGGAAAAAGGGAGGATGTTGCAGAGAGTATAGGAAGAAGAATGGTAGGAATTCGGGGATCCTACCCAAATTACCCACTGCAAACACCAATACAGGGCGTTTGCACCCCAAATTACCCGCTGCAAACACCCATATAGGGTGTTTGCACCCCAAATTACCCACTACAAACACCAATGTAGGGTGTTTGCACCCCAAATTACCCGCTGCAAACACCAATACAGGGTGCTTGAAGAGGGTAATTTGGGGTGCTAAAGCTGTTGTGGTAGGGGAGGCAATGAAGATGGGGTATCTGTGTTGCAAAGCAAGAGATAAGGGATGCAGAGATGGGGTACTCAAGGCCAAGGGTGAGGAGAGAGAAAAGTCAGATGAGATTTTTGCCTGGCCTGACCCTGTTTCCAGTGTGCTGGAATTTCCTGCCACCTGCAATTTGATTGGTTTAAAGGCAGCACTTGCAGGACTTTGGGCTGGCTCACTTTGAGCTCTGTGGCAGGGAGCTCAGAGAATCTGGGATTTGGCTCTCAGGGCAGCATCACAAGGCAGCAGAAGCTCCCAGCTGGCTGGTGAGCCAAGGAACGTGTCTCCAGCCAGGGGGCAGTGTGCTGGGAATCAGGGCTGCAGCCCCCTCTTCAGTTCATGGAGTGCAAGGGTTTTCCAGGTAAGAATTCCAAGATCTATGAATCAATGCGTTTCCCAGAAAAAGTCTGTGTTTTTGTTGGAGGGTGTGTAAGGTTCTCAATATTTCCAAATGCTTTGTTTGTGAAAGAGGTTTGGAAATGTGTTGTTTTACATGAGTTGCTGGGCTGGCAAGAGGTCCTGTGGAAGATTTCTAACTGGAGAAGGAGAGCTAGGAGACTAATTTTTCCCTATATTCATTTTAACATAATCTCTCCCTGCCTTCTGACTCTGGCTAGATGCTCTCTAACAGCATGAGTTTTTCTGAGAGGATTTTCCTTTATTTTTATCCTTTTTCTACCACACCACACACCCCCCTACGCCCCTTATGTGTGGTTTTGCTTTGTTTTCTTTCTCTGCTATAATTTCAGTATCATCTTCCAAGTGCTGCTTATCCTAAACACGGAGATGAGGCAGTGACAGGAAAGGGCTGCCACTCTGACGTACATTGGGATCTTTAAAGAGTGGGATTGTGGTGGGTTTTATCCAAATACAGAGCCTGGCTAAGCTCTGAGGACTACACTAATGCTGTGGAAAGGCTCTTGAGTCATGGAATATGTTCCCTGACCTTTCTGTAATGTGACAGGAGCAATAACACAAAATACCAACATCTACATTAACGTTGAGCAGACATTGTCTAATCCTAGAAACACCCAGGGAGTCAAGAGCCTGTCATCCTTCTCTTGCAGGTAGGAAAATTGAGGTTTGCAGATGATGAAAGTTTTTTTTTTTCAACACGGTAGTTCATAGCAAAGGGTTTAACAATTCCGTTTTGTCACAGAAATGTTTACTCAAGAGCTTGAGCTGTGATTCAACTTGGACAGGCTTCAAAATCCTTATCTGGGGCACAAAATCACAGAGTCCTTTGGGTCAGTGTGTGGTGCTGTGCTGTGTGAAGAGGGACAGTCCGTGACAGCAGTCACAGGGGTTCTTAGATGAAAGAAGAGACAAAAATGTTGACTCTATGTTCAGAAGGCTTGATTTATTATTTTATGACATATATATATATATATATTACGTTATAACTCTACTAAAAAGAAATAGAAAGAAAAGGTTCATCTCAGAAGGCTAGCTAAGAATAGAATAGAAAAAGAAATTATAACAAAAGGCAGCTCTCTCAGACTCTGTCCGAGATAGCTCGGCCTTGATTGGCTATTAATTATAAAATCTAAGATAGGCCAATCAAAAGTCCACCTGATGCATTCCACAGCAGCAGATAACTATTATTTACATTTTGTTTCTGAGGCCTCAGCTTCTCAGAAGAGAAAAAAAATCCTAAGGAAGGATTTTCACAAAAAGATGTCTACAACACAGTCCAGCAGGGAAAGATGTGGATGAGTTTGGCATCTGAGTGAAACAGAACATTATCTACTTGTGCAGTAAATCTGCGCTTGGGAAATAATTCATCTGATCACATCTGAACACTTGTGAGATTCTGAGGTACCAGGAAGGTTGCATTTTGTCCTGGTTGCTGTCTCTGAAAAATTCCATTGAGGTTCTTCCCTACAACAAGAAAAAATGTTTTCTGTCCGGATGCCCAATGTCAAAGCCCTTTTCCCTGAGCCCAGGCTGCAGTCAGAGGGCAGAATCTCATCGAGCTGTCCCAGCAGCGTGAACAAGCAGAGCTGGGATGCTCAGGTGCTTCAGGCAGAGCTGTCCCTGGTCTGCACCAGCACAGCTCCTCCCCAGAGCAGCTGGGACAGAGCAGGGCTTGGCAGTGCTGCCACAGCTCTGCAGAGGGAGAAAAATGGGATTTTTAATATGTAGGTGGAGCTGCACAGGTCGTGTTACCTGGTGGGGATGGGAGGGAAGGTGTTTGTGTTTCAGCTGTGCTCCATTGTAGGTGAAGGAAGCCGCTGTCTCACGTTTCTTGCCTACCGTGGGAACCTGCTGGAAGTTGAATGTTCTGTAGATAAGCACAAGGTGACAATGCTGGCAGGACACTGCTCTGCTCTTTATGGAGTGAGTCCTGGTGCTGGAACCTGCTTGATCTTTCGCACATATCAGCTCCACCAAGCAGGGATGGATGGAGATGGTCTTTCTCAGAACCAGCACATTAAAGTGCTTGGCTGCCAAAATAGCTCTGTTCCCACAGGCCACTGTGTGTTCCAGAGGCAGGAGGGATGGAGGGAGGCAGCCATTGGGCTTTGGATAGAACCAGAGGTTTATTATGTTCATATGAAAAACAGTTGCCAGGAATGCCACAGGCTTTGAAGAGAAGAGTTTTTAAATCTGTACTTGAGCAATCTTAACAAGCGTCCATTTCTCAAATGGACTTTTGCATCATGGACACACTTCGGTCTCATATTTTGGTGCTAGGAATAAAGTTAAGGAACAGCTTGGAGAAAATTGCTATTAAGAGTTAAATTACTGGTTAACTACTGTTAAGTGCCAGAGCTGTGAGGCACTGGGGCTCAGGTGGGTGTTTTATGGGCTGCTTTGGGTCTCTGCTGTTGCAGGACAAGAGGACCCAGCAGCTCACCTGGTTCACCCTCCCTGGAAAAGCCATGTGGATGTGGCACTTTGGGAAGTGGTTTAGTGGTGAACACTAAAGGAGGTTAGGGATTGGATTTGATGATCCTAGAGGTTTTTTCCAACCTGAATGGTTCTGTGATTCCACGATAAAGGCACCACCCAAAGCCAGGTGTAGATAAGCAGCAGTGTCCACTGGACCATGCAAATCCACCTGGGCTGGCAGCTGAGAGAGGCACCCTCAGGGCAGGAGCTCAGGAAAGCAAAGCAGGGTGTGGAGGTGCTTTATTATTTAGCAGCCTTGCCTTTTCACCCCTTCTGGCCTCCAGGCTCTGATTCCGTGCAAGGTCCAGATGAATAATGTATGAAATGGTAGAGATAGACCCAGTGGATGGGCTATCAAGGGGCAGTTAGGCTCTGTTTTGACTTGTAGGGTAAACATTCCTGGCGTAGACATCCTCTGTGGTTTAGTGATTAGATCTGGGAGCTGCATTTGGGGTCAAGTCAAGGTGCTCTCACCCAGCTCCAGCAACATTGGCTTGGCCACATCATCTGTTCCTAGTAATAATCATCATTATCACCATCATCATCATCTCAATTCAGATTTTGTTTCATTTTGGAACTTATTGTCCAAGGATGTGGTTTAGTTTGAATGCTGTGCACAGTGAACTTGGCATGTAAATATTGAACATTCCCGTTATTTATGACAACACATCCACAACAAACAGAATTAAACCTCGTGCTGTAGGTGCTCACTGGTAAGATGGGGACACTGTGAGAGTTAAACTTCACCTGCCTTGATCCTGCCTGTGGTTTTTAACCTTGCTTGTAAAGTTGAGCCCAGAATTTGAAATTGGAGAGTGTTCCTGTTTGGCTTGGCTCCAGGCATTTCTGGTTTTGTTCTCCAGGCTGGCTTGGAGCAGAGTAGGTCACGTGTGAGCCTGTTTGCCTGTGTAGCAATAGTTCTCACTGAAAGAACAAGAAATAATAGAGAAACTTTAGCCCATATTCTATCTTAAATAGAATTATGTTGTAGATAATAACTTAGGAATAAAAACGGTGTGAAAGAGATGAAACTTCAGCTGCATGGAATAGGAAAACACTAAGTTCATATGGTGTGGGAGGATTCCTCAGGAAGAGTAGGGCATGAGTAATGCTGTGCCCTCACTCCAGTCATGGGCTCTGATGTGGTGAGTGGCTTGTACCTCATCCAAAGCACAAAGGTGGTGCTGTTATTATGCAGACAGCCCCATCCAATGGTTTTGGACCCTTAGGTGAAAGAGGATTTAAAGGGTTTTGGGTTGGACCCGATTCTGGTTGGACCAGAATCAGAGGCTGTGTTTGGTTTGGGGTTTAGCACAGGTAACACCCTGCTCCTACACCCATCTCCTGTGAAGAGCCACAAACACAGGTCACTAAAATTAGTCTTGCAAGGCAGCTGTTCTGACTGGTGCCTCTGCTTTCCCTGCTCTGACTTCAGCTCATGCCCAAGTAAAGATCTCTGCCTGGTTTTAATCAGCTCAATTAGCAGTTGACACTGGGGACCAAGTAGGTTCATCAGGAGAAAGTGAATAAAACAAATAGCAAAAGTGAATAAAACAAATAGCTTCCCCATTTGTTCAGCGAGGCTGGGTCTGGGCCCCTTGAAGTGCTGGGGAGGTTATGGAGCAGGGTCTCCTGAGCAAGAAGGGATTTGGTGATTTCTGTGGAGACTAGTGAGGCTTCCTGGAAATTCCACCAAGGTCTGTCCCTCCGTGTGGTTTGGACTCAGAATGTCATTGATGACCTGTAACTTATGCCTCAAATCTTACTCTGAATGACCTGTAAAATATCATCTCCATACAGATTCCTCAGTGTTAAATAAAGGTCAAATCTGAAACTGCTAGGTTCTTTTTCCAGGACATATTTTATCTAACAGGAAGAAAAATGTACTCTGCTAAAATAAAATGTTTCCTGCAGGACCCCAGTTTCCAGCTATTGTTAAAATGTCTGGTTGAGGGCTGAGAACCCTGTGGCCAACAGGGATCTGGAATGAGTTGAAAAGAGGAGAAGGATGTGCTCTGCAAAGAACAATGTTAGGTCCACACTAACAGCACAGAAAAAAAGGAGATTGGCTGCAGGATACAGAGAGGCCCCAAGAACAGGGATGAGCAGCCAGATCTGATGCTGATAGCTGTGAAGTGCCCCAGGGCTGTCTTCTATACAACATTGCTGGAATTCCTACAGTTTGGGAGTAGCCCCTCTGGAGTGCTAAATAACTTGGTGTGGAGTCATCCTAGACCCCTCAGTGAGGACTTGTGGCATTTAAAAGAAAAATGAGTTTTTAGGAGGTTGAAGGACGTTTGAAGTGCAGGGGGTAAAAGAGTTGGCAGTCATGTGCTGGTCATCTGCTTGCTTCAGCATAGAGGGAAATATGAAAGTATGACTGGGATAATCAAAAGCATGGAGAAATCTCCTTTGAAGAGAGATGAAAGCAAATGGGTCTGAAGTAAAGCTGAGTAAGAGGTGCTT